ATTTATTTTTGGTACAAGGTGGTCACAATTAATTTTAATTATTGGATGTGAAATTAGATAGCTATATTTATTCTATTGATCAAGTTCAAACTTCAAAGGAAAATTTCTTGAATTTTGTGAACAAGCTTTCGGATTTCACATCGAATGGTTGTACATAATTGTGACCACCTTGTATAAAAGGTAAATGGTTTCATTGTATATCATCTTTTTTATCGATCGCATATATATTTTTTAACATATTTTTCCCTTGTGCCTGTAGGGCTGGCGTACTTCTCTCCAAAATTTGAGCTCAAAAAGATTAATAAAGGTATTAAAAATGATAGAGGGATGATGCAGCTAAGAAATGAGCATCCCGAATATGTATATTAATTTAGGAAAGTATACAAATTGTGTTTTCAACAAAAAAAAAAAAACCAAAAAAAAATTACAATTAACTCTAGCCTAGTTATTGGAGTATACCATCGTCTGTGTTTAGATGTACCATTCACTGTGATCGAATTTCAAAAAATTTAGTCCCAAGAAATGACCATCCTAATAATCATAATTTACAATTTAATAGCTTGGGATGGTTATGACCTTTACATATCAAAGGTAATAGTTTCATTGTATATAGGCCTTGTATTTATATGTTATTTTCAAATATGAGAAAACAATTACTCATAAGATATTTAATCCTATGACAGGATGTCAAATAGGAGAGTAAATAAGATAGAAGATTAATTCACAATCATCCCTAAGCGTCATATGTGACGTCGGAGTTGGCAATGCCATTGAAGTCCAAATTTTTTTTATTGGAAAGTTTTTGGTAGGGAAATGGTATGTATTTTACCGTCCCATTTTGTATGTCACAACTCGAGGGTGATTGTTACCATATTATACTAAGGATTAGTATATAATCTCATATTAAAATTCCTTAAGTTACTATTGACAGAACATTATCAACCTCAAGGACTAGGATGAACCACCATCACCTTTTGGTTAATTTGTATGTGTATATGTTTCTTTCTCTTTTTTTTTGTTTTTTTCACTCAAGTCAGGCGAACATGTTCTTAAAATTTGAGGCCTATTAGATCCATAAAAATATTTGAAAAATCAATATGTGTGAATACCCATCAACTATCAAATCATTAAAACTCAATCTGAGCCATTGAATTTACACTGTTCTATTTCCATTGGCTGGCCAAGATTGTCTTCTTCCCATATCCCATGTCAAATAATAAATAATGCGAGGCCGTGCATTACCTCCAAATGATACAAGAAGTCTTGGGCTCAATTGTCAAAATAATGACTCACAATTCATGTATTATTGACTGAAAATCACATAATGCACCTAGCATAAATTTCTACAATTGTTTGCCCAATGATACAAGAGATATTGGCTCAAAGCTCTAAGCTCAATTGCACCCATATTTTGGTACAAACACCAACAAATTAAAGAAAAGGTTTCCAAGAGTGTGGAGATTACAAAATTGGTTTCATGGGAGCCCATGGGGAATAGTTGATGGTTGGCCAACTTAGCCCAACTCATATCACACTAATAGAATTAAAAAAATTAGAAAATAAAAAATACTAATAAATAAATTACAGAAAGAAAATCAACACCGTCTCACCAAATGGCTTAAGTATGAGAAATTCAATTCATGGAATTTTGGGGTTTGGCCACCTTATTCTCACAATACATACTAAAATATAATGAAACAAATGCACTAATAATTGAACAAACATTGAGAGGAAGGGAAAACCATTTTTTAAAACTTAAAATTTGAACAAAATAAAAAACCCAATAGATAAAAAAAAATAAAATTGAGTTGATCAAATTAGTTATAGAAATCAAACCATTTTTTCAAGGGAACTGGTTGTGGGTCACAAAGGTTTCACCATATTTCCATGAGGAAGGAACCAAATTAAGGAACTCCAAGGTTTGGCCATCAAAAAGTATGAGCTTGAAAGAGATGGTCTGTCCTCACAAGTCTATATTAGTTTGCCAATTTGCCCCCCAATTCCTATTCATGGCCAACCATCCTTTACTTCTTGAGCCCTTAACCCAAGCTCCTCTGAAATACCCACTCCCTCCAATATTGGATATCATCACAAGGTTGAAGTTGCCTTGGCCTTTCATGGTGAAGTGTATGCCTCCTCTTCTCTTGCATGACACCCTTCTCAAAAGTAAGCAGTAAGCAGCATGATAGAAATATGCAAAAGAATTTAGTAACTTCCACCAAACATTCAGCAACTTTCACTAATTTTCTCTTTGCTCAGTAAAAGACAGCACAACTGCCATTACTCATATGGTATATGGATAGTATCTACTTTCAATTTATTTTAACTGACTTTTTAGTTATGCATGAATTGTACTTCCAATTTATTTTTACTGACTTTTATACAATCATGAAGATCGTTGGTTACAAGCCGACAATAATATCCTATATTAATTAATCACAATATAAAATAAAATTGGTCACACTAGTCTCTGAAATTATTGTGATTGTAAGCACACCATTCGCCAACTCTAGAAACAGAAAATTTTACTCATATAAGGACTCAAGTAAAGATTCATCAAATGTAATATTTTCACCTCTATAAATCTATCTATACGCACAGACACAACACACACACATACATAAGGGAGCAATTTATATGAGGCGCCTATGTTAAACACTCTAAGTGAGGCGCACCTTCAAATCCTATTGGAGCCCCGACATTTTTTTCCAATATTGTCCTGTTTTATTATCGTCATCATCCGAAATAAAAAATAAAATTCGGAAGTATAAATATGGAAACAACTTTTTTCATTACAAGAATCAAAGAAAATAATCAGTTGTATACAATCTCAAGCCATGCAATTGTACAATGCACGTGCAAAAAAAACAGGCGAGTAAAGATCCAGAGAGAGTAATTAGTCAAAAAAAAAAAAAAGAAAAAGAAAAAAATATCCGGATAGAGTATGATGTGCAAAACTCAAGTATTGAATCAATCATGCATAATATACACCAACCATACAGTGTTGTTTTTGGAAAAATCATGGACTCCTTGCATGCATGTAAATACCATATTAAATAAAGGGTGTGGTTTCTATAAATTGTAGATTTTTTATTTTATAATTTTCGAATTTCGAAAATTAAAAAATTTTAGATTTTGAAAATTCGAAAAATATAATCATACTTAGTTCACGCAAAAAAAAAATTCGGATTTTGAAAATCTAAAAAGGGCAATTTAGTAATTCTTTAAGTTATTGACAAAAAATTTTGGGCCCCTAAGAACGGGTATACCTTTAATATCCCAAATTTCGAATGTAATAAGTGAAAATTTTAGGTAAAATAATAATTCTTAAAATAACAGATATATGTGTAATTTTCTCTAAAGAGTTTCTTAATTATACCCACTACGCACGTGAAAAAATAATGTCTCGATTCAATAGAGATCATCCAAATTTTAGATGTTGAGGTATAAGTGTCAGAAAACTCAAATTTTTTTTTAAAAATTTAATGACAATAATTATGAAGTGATTCTTAAGTAATTCCTAAAATTTCAAATTGAAAAAAAATAAATCCTCCCAAATAGGTAATCTTGCTGAAGGAGTAGAAGTAGATATGCAAGAATTCGTAAATGCTTATGTACAAGTACATTCATGTTTCAATTTCTTTTTTCTATGGCCTATTATAAAATTATGATATATAAATATGGAAACAACTTTTTTCATTACAAGAATCAAAGAAAAGAATTGTATACAATATCAACCCATGCAATTGTACATTGCACGTGCAAAAAAACAGGAGAGTAAAGATCCAGAGAGAGTAATTAGTTAAAAAAAGAAAAAAGAAAAAAAGATCCAGATAGTGTATGATGTACAAAACCCAAGTATTGAATCAATCATGCATAGTATACACCAACCATACACTGTTGTTTTTGGAAAACTCATGGCCATATTAAATAAAGGGTGTGGTTTCTATAAGGTTATAAGCTTAAACAATCCATTTAAGGTGCAGCTCAACTCTGAATTTTATTAACACGTAATTTTGATGTAAAAAATTCTTAGGATTATCTCAAAATCTTAACATGTAGATTGATGTAAATTTTTTTTAGGATTATCTCAATATCTATTTTCATGTCGAATTATAAAATTTTAAACTCCAAAGATGTCTAATATCAAACGTATGGAAAAAATAGACAATGTGTAGCAAGATGCATTATTTTTGGGATTCAAATTTTTTTTTTTTTCATATTCATACATCTTGATGTCAAGATGATCAATTAGGGAGTTTTTCAACATTAAAACAACCTCTTCTGATGGATCTTTTGAAGCGTGCCTTTAGTTTTACATTTTAAAGTTTCCTTAAATAAATAAGAAGAAAAAGAAAGTAAGCGTGTCATGTAAAAAAGAAAAGTAAGAGTATGATGTAAAAGTGATTGTCCATGCACTATTGGAATCGGACCAAGAAACTGGACATGAGGCCCACACCCACTCACTCCCATTTCCAGGAAAGGCATGACTTTCCAAAAGCAAACACGTCTTCATGCCACAAAAAAACATGACTTTCACACCTATTCACTCTCATAATGTATTTGACTAGGTGACCACAACAAAGTAATAGTAGTCAGAAAATTTAGAGAGAGAGAACGTGATAACCCTTGAAGGGAAGGGAGATAGCATGAGGATTAAGTGGATAGAATAAATGCAAGAAAATAACAGGACTTAAATAAACAGAGAGAGAGAGTTCGGACGGCTCGCCCATTAATTTCAATATTGAGATTTATATTAAGAAAAAGTTTATACATGGTTGCTACCTTAAAATGTAGAGTTAAATATGCACCTCAAAAATCTATCAGAGAAAGTTATTTTAATGTTGAAAACTCCTCTTGCAACACATTATTTAAATCCTCTAGTGCGATAAAATTTAGAGATCGCGATAATTCGATCTTTTAAGGTTGCAACGTTATAGAAACCAACTCCTTTATATTATCTTGTTTTGTCCACTTTTTTTTCTTCCAAGACTTTGCAACTTTCAAGGCATATCCCTTGCCTTGCAACTTAGAAAAAGAGAGGGAGAAGAAAGAGAAAGATTCAAACCGTTAAGGAGAGAGAAAGATTCAAACCGTCAAATTCATTGTTCATGAAAAACTTATAATCATAACACATAAAGTTCCTATTATTTTTACACATTATCGCCAACATTTTTTTACTCCTTTTACACAGAATCCATTTCCACTGCCAAATTCCACAGTCCAAAAGCTTTCGCATGAAATGCTAAAGACTTGCCCAATTCCACTGGAGTTTCACATGGTGGCAAATATTCAATGGGGCCCACCTCTCAGTTTAGAGAGAGGTCTATAATTCCTCCACCAAAACTCTATAAATGTCAAACCCAATATCAAGCAATTTAATTGAGTGAAGTTTTGCATGCCATGAAAATGAGAATGGTGGTGATATCTCCTTTTTTGTCCTTCATTTTAGTTCTTCTGATTCGATCCTCTGGTTTGTCAACAGTTGATTTAGAAGGTGAAGCATTGCTGAACTGGAAAACTAGTTTGAAAAATCACACTTTGGTCTCATGGTTTCTTGAACCCAAAATCTTGAGCAGCCATTGCAGTTGGATTGGTATCAAATGCAATGATGGTGGAAGTGTAATTGAGATTAACCCCTAAAATTTCAGATTGGAAGGGACACTCAACCATCTGAACTTCTTCTCCTTGCCCCATCTGAGTGGTTTAAATCTCAGCTTAAACCACTTAGAAGGGAAAATCCCAAAGAGTATTGGATCTCTTTTGAACCTCAGTTTCTTGGATTTGGCAGAGAAGTACCATAGGAGATTGGCAATCTCACTGAGCTTCAATTCATTTGTCTAAGAACAAATGATCTTAGTGGCCCCATCCCTTACCAGCTGAGTAATCTGCAAAAGGTATGCCTTCGTAGAAATAATCTCACCGGATCTCTCCCTCCCTCCATAGGAAACCTTTTCATGCTTAGTGAATTGGATCTGTCTTACAATAATCTCAAGGGATCCCTCCCTCCCTCCATATTAAATAGTAAACCTTTCGAAGCTGACATACTTATGTCTATTCAATAAACCTTTCCATGCCTACAAATAAATATTTTCATAATAACAAAAAAAAAAAAAAAAATTAATATAATTTTTTGTATTATTTTTATTCTATTTCATTCATTACAACATAATCATTAAATCCATCCTTGCACTATTTAATATGGATTAACTCTCTCACACCGCTTCCACATGTGCTACTTAGCCATCGGTGTCTTGTTACCTTCTCAAATATGTAACCTTATGACACAATCTACATGTTATAGCCTTACACCGAACTCAATTACACTCCCATTCTCTCTCTACATTTATCAATTCTTTCTTACTTCCCATATATCATTCTCCCTTTCTCTTTTTTTCCCTAATTAGAGGTAAAAATAATATTTCAATCCATCATAAAGATTTTTGGTGGTGAAATAACACATTTAAATATTATTTCAAAGCGAGCCTTATTTTAATTGTTTAGGGCCTCAGCTCTATACAAACCACACCCATTTATTATTACTTAGAAACGTACTCACCAATTTGTTCGGAAATGGCATGTGTTTTACCATACTATTTTGTATTTCACAACTCGAATATACCTTATTGTAGTAAAGATTAGTATATAATCTCATCTAAAAATTCATTAAGTTATACTATTGACATAACATTATCAACCTCATGGACTAGAATGAACCACCGCCTTTTGGTTAATTTGTTTGTATATATGTTTCTTTCTTTCTATTTTTTTTTCACCTAAGTCAGGGGGAACATGTGCCTAAAATTTTAGGTCTATTAGATCCATAAAAATATTTGAAAACTCAATCTGTGTGAATACCCAACAACTGTCAAATTGCTAAAATTCAATATAAACCGTGGAACTTACACTGTTCTATTTCCATTGACTGACCAAAATTGTCTTCTTCCCATATCCCATGTCAAATAAAAAATAATGCGTGGCCATACATTACCTTCTAACAAATGTTTGCCAAATGATACAAGAAGTCTTGGGCTCAATTGTCAATATAATGACTCACAATTCATGTATTATTGACTGAAAATCATATAATGCACCAGGCATAAATTTCTACAATGGTTTGCCCAATGATACAAGAGATATTGGCTCAAAGCTCTAAGCTCAATTGCACTCACATTTTGGTACAAACACCAGCAAATTAAAGAAAAGGTTTCCAAGAGTGTGGAGATCACAAAATTGGTTTCATGAGAGCCCCATGGGGAATAGTTATAGTTGGCCAACTTAGCCAAACTCATATCACACTAATAGAATAAAAACAATTAGAGAATAAAAAAAATACTAATAAATAAATTACAGAAAGAAAAGCAACACTGTCTCACCAAATGGCTTAAGTATGAGAAATTCAATTCATGGAATTTTGGGGTTTGACCACCTTATTCTCACAATACATACTAAAATATAATGAAACAAACACACTAATAATTGAACAAACATTGAGAGGAAGGGAGAGCCATTTTTTAAAACTTAAAATTTGAATAAAACAAAAAACACAATAGATATAAAAAAATAAAATTGAGTTGATCAAAATTTTAAAACATAAAATTTGAATAATAGGTAAGTTATAAAAGAAATAATTGAGTTGATCAAATTAGTTGGAGAAATCAAACCATTTTTTCAAGGGAACTGGTTGTGGGTCACAAAGGTTTCACCATATTTCCATGAGGAAGGAACCAAATTAAGGAACTCCAAGGTTTGGCCATCAAAAAGTATGAGCTTGAAGGAGATGGTCTGTCCTCTCAAGTCTATATTAGTTTGCCAATTTGCCCCCCAATTCCTATTCATGGGTAACCATCCTTTACTTCTTGAGCCCTTAACCCAAGTTCCTCTCAAATACCCACTCCCTCCAATATTGGATATCATCACAAGGTTGAAGTTGCCTTGGCCTTTCATGGTGAAGTGTATGCCTCCTCTTCTCTTGCATGACACCCTTCTCAAGTTCAAAAAAAGAAGCAGCTTTCATTAAGTAATGCACAGCATATAGAGTAAGAGTAAGCAGCATGATTGAAATATGCAAAAGAATTTAGTAACTTCCACCAAACATTCAGCAACTTTCAGTAATTTTCTCTTTGCTCAGTAAAAGAAAGCACAACTTCCATTACTCATATGGTATACGGATGGTATGTACTTTCAATTTATTATAACTGACTTTTTAGTTATGCATCTTATGTACTTTCAATTTATTATGACTAACTTTTATTATAACTAACTTTTGTAGCCGACAATAACATCTTATATTTATTACAACATAAAATAAAATTGGTCACACTAGTCTCTGACATTATTGTGATTGTAAGCTCACCATTCACCAACCCCTAGAATCATAAAATTTTACTCATACAAGGACTCAAGTAAAGGTTCATCAAATGTAATATTTTCACCTCTATCTATCTATCTATATACACACACACAACACACACATACACACATACATACATATGGGAGCAATTTATATAAGGCGCCAATGTTAAACAAGCTAAATGAGGCGCACCTTCAAACCCTTTCACAAGATGCAATTCTGGTGTTGAAACTCCTACGCGGTTTCTATAAGGTTGCAACCTTCAACAATCCAATTAAGGCACACCTCCAAATTTTATCACAAGTAATTTTGTTGCAAAAAATTCTTAGGATTATCTTAAAATCTATTTTCATATCTAATTAGAAAATTTTAACTCCAAAAATAGTTCAAATCAAGGAGATCTATAAACATATAAAAATCTTGAAAATGGATGGCCTAGATAATGTGTTGCAAGATGCATTATTTCTGATACTCAAATTTTTAATTTTTTTTTATTCTTGCATCTCGATGCCAAGATGATCAAATAGAGGGTTTTTCAACATTAAAACAACCTTTCCAATAGATTTTTGAGGTGCATATGTAATTCTACAGTTTAAGGTTGCAACCTTATATAAACTTCTCTTTCTCTCTCTCTCTCTCCATATATATATATATGATAGTAATAAATCAAAAAATAGTACAGATTGAACAAGCCTTTAAACACTTGAAAAATCTTAAAATAGACAATTGAGATAGTATGTTACAAGATGCACTTTTCTTATGATTTGAAATCGTTTTTTCATATTCACATATCTCGAGGTCGAATTACCAATTAAAGGTTTTCTTTTCCATTAAATTTTTTAGGTGCATCTTACTTCAATGTTCTCCACACAGGTGCCCTAGACATGCACACGTACCTATATATATATATATATATAAAAGAGAGGGAGAGAGAGAAATAGAGTACCTCCGATAGAGTATGGGAACTATACCCTCAGGCCCCACACGTGCGATGCGAGAGAAAGCAGGCAAAGACATGTCAAAGTGTTGGCGAGGAAGGTCACACCACCCCCCGTTATTATTTGGAGGGCAAAAATTTGTGGCCGTTACCGTTACAAACCTCCCCGTTAAACACCACTTTGGATCAGAGAGAGAATCACATTTGAGCTGAAAACAAGCACCACAGGCCTCCCCACCCTTGAACAGAGCACTGCTCAGTGCTGCCGTCTCTACACCGAACCCGGCATGGAATGTGTTATCGTAGCCACACGCTCCTCCTGTGTGAATCAAATGGATGGTTAAGATGCATTTCGGTTGAGTTTCTTTTGATTACTTGTACATGCAAGTACCCTCGATCCGATTTGGACCCGATCCACATGGACCATGGGTGAGGCTCTAGGTTCATCCTAGACCTTTTCTGGCCCGACTAGGCCCAGGTCTAGGTTGACCCACCTTTTTTGAAGTATTACACACACGTGCACGTGCGCGTGCACACACACACACACACATATATATATATATATATATATAGGAAAAGTATTAAAAACGCCTATAGACGAAGTGCAACTGTGTTTCGCCCCCATCATGGACATGCTATGTCTATGGCGGTTTTGCCTAACAACTACCATGGACCTACGGGAGCCGTTGCCGTTCCCCCATTTTTTTGCTTCAAATTTACGTGAAAAAAATATCGTCACAAACTTGCTATGTTTGTGATGGACCGCCACAGACATGCCTAGTCCATGACTGTCTTTAATGTACACCATCTGAAAAAATCGAATAGCACCGAGCCTATAGGCAAAAATACTTTTCATTTTCTCCCATAGACGTTTTGTAGTTTCTTTTATATATATATGAAATATTTGACCTTGAGGTGATCAAACACTTCCACTTGATTTGGATCCGATTGGGGTCTAGCTCGGGTTGGATTCGGGGTATAATCGACCCAGACTATTTCGATTTACTACCCTAAGCACAGTATAGGTTGGACAGCCTAGATTGAACAAAAAGAAATAAATAGCTAGAGTTCCATAAAATCTTCTTGGTTATTTCTTTTCTTTAAGGAACTAAATGTACAATGTGCTCTTGCAGGAATACAATAAATGCCATCATTAACTTTTTATATCAAATTAGGCTATCCATGTCCTCAATATCATGCTCTTTTCATTCTAGCCACCAAAAATGACCCTTATGTCCTTTACTAAGGACACTTCATGTTATGCTCTTTCCGCTATAGCCACCAAAAAAAATCTGTCCTTTATTTTAAGGTCATTTAGACCGTGTCAGGGAACAAAGGACACCAGGAGGCTAGGACTATACCTTTATAAGTATTTTTCGCCCCACTATTTTTTAAACAACACTACTAATATCAATACAATTTACCTTTTGTATCAACCCCCTACAAATGAAGTAGTTTTTTTAAGATGAAAATACCTCTTATATATTTAAGAAAATTAAAATTTTTGAGAGAGTGAGAGAAACTACCTCAAATTTCAAATTTATAGAGAGAAAAACAATTTCAAATTTTAAATTTTTAGAGATAAAAACTATCTCAAATTTCAAATTTTAGAAATAGAAACTATCTCAAAATTTATAGAGAGATAAACTCTCAAATTTCAAGTTTTCTTGAGAGAGAAACTCTTAAATTTTGAAATCCTTGGATAGAGTGACGGGATTGGAAAGAACACAGGTTTATACAATGAGGGTGTTTTCCTTTTAAGAAATCTACTTGAGGAGTGAATGCAAAATAAATAATATTGAGATTAGGGATGCGGCTTAAAAAATATTGAGGTGGGACATATATAAAAAGCAGTGTTCACAAAATCGAACTGGAATAGTTAACCGGACATTGACTAGGAAGCAATTCAACCAACCCAACCGGTAAACGAGCCGATTCAATCGTACTAGCCGGGCAAGTCTCATGCGGTAAAAAAACTGTTGAAAAAAATAAAAAAGATACAAAAAAAAACTAATAAAATATAAAAAGTATATTTAAAGAGCTAATTAAAAAAAAAAAACATCCAAACGAACTTGAAAATTAATAAAAAAATAATTTAATTTTAAATAATCGATTTATAACTATGGGTATTTTAATTTTTTTTAAAAAATATAAAAAAAAGTATTAGCGACCAAATTTTTTTTTCAATCTTTGTCATAATGATAAAAAGCATAAAAAAAATACATTACAAACAAAATCCATTATTTTTGGGATTATATATGTGTATTTAAAATTTTCTTTTCAAATATCCGGCCGGTCACTAAAATCAGCCAAAACAGGAATCGGCCATTGGCCGGTTCTGATCTAACCAGGCAGTTAGATTTTGTGTGTTTTTATAGTAAAATATCTACCAAAAAAGCCAGAAGCAACGTCTAAATTTCTAAAATCTCATATACAAATGTGTGACAGGAATTAAAAACCATAGACACACATGTGCATGCTAAAGAGTTAAATAAGATGGTTACCGAGGGTGGTAGGGTTTTGGCCTCCTCCATAGAAAGTTGCATGGGCTTGGATCCATCCATTTGGGGCACCATTCGCCCCCACCAAAAGCATTGCAACGTTCATGGACCATAGAAGCATGTTTGGATGCTCCAAAAGGGATAAAACTAGCATTTTTACCATACACCCAGAAGAGAGATCCTAAGCTGGTATTCTCTCACTATATTTGGCACTGCAAAAAAGAGGCGTGCTTACAGTTTATGATATGATGAGAGAGAGATTTATGCAGGAATTTCCTTCAGTAGAGAGAGACTCTCTCACTATATGTTGACTAAGAGAGAGAGAGATTCAAGTTGGTATTGAGAAGCAGAGAGAGACTCTCACTGTATGTTGAATAAGAGAGAGAAATTGAGAGACAGAGACTCTCACTATATGTTTAATAAGAGAGAGAAAGTAAAGTGACAGAGACTCTCACTCTATGTTGAATAAGAGAGAGAGAGATTCAAGTTGGTATTGACAAAGAGATTCTATCACTTGGTATTTTCTCACTCTATATTGTACAAAAGAGAGAGGAAGATATTAAAAGTCGTCTTTCTCTCACTATATGTTGCAGAAGAGAGAGAGAACGAGATTCAAAGTCGGTATTTCTCTCACTATCACAAGAGAGAGATTCAAAGTTGGTATTTCTCTCACTATCACAAGAGAGAGATTCAGAGTTGGTATTTCTCTCACTATCACAAGAGAGATTCAAAGTTGGTATTTCTCTCACTATATGTTGCATGAGAGAGAGAAGGAAGTTTAGAGAGAGAGGAACGTAGAGAGAGAGGAACGTTAGAGAGAGAGAGAGAGAGAGGCTTGCTTAGCTTATGGTTTGATGCAGAGAGAGAGAAAGATCCAAAGTTGGTATTTCTCTCAATATATGTTGCATGAGAGAGAATGAAGTTTAAAGAGAGAGAGAGGGAAACTGAGAGAGAGAGAGAGGCTTGCTTATGGTTTGATGCAACCTACGATTCCATAATAAATAGACTCATTACATGCAGAGGGACGCGTTTGTCGGTGAATTACAATGCATTTTAAATCGCATTTATCAAATCTACGCGCTTTCCCATGTTACACAAAGTACAATGCCTGTACATTTCAGGTACACACTCGGTGCTTAAATTATATTTGGAAAATGGATTGATAAGGCTGCCGCCCTATCAAAATAAGTAAAGCCTCACCTCATATTTTGCAAACGTAAGGGTTAGAATTTAGGTGCACCCCCACCTTACCCATTGAAGTGAATCCACTCTTTTAGAATCTACCTTAAATTGGATTTTGGAAGCAAAGCTTTGCAAATCTATGGTCTCCATGATTTCCATTCCCAAAAAAGAGAATTTTTAAACTTTAAGAATAGTCTAATTTCTGTCATTAGTTTTTGATGGAAGTTTAAACCTAGGGATCTGTGAAAGTTGATTCGGACCGGTTGATCAGCGATATGGCTGAGAGAACCAGGCAAAAGAATTTTTTAAAATTGAGAAAATATGATATCGAAAAATAATAAAAAGGGGTTGGGTTGGGTTGGGTTAGCCAGTTAGCAAACATAACCGCCTTGTAGGAATTAGCCGGTTCTCGATATATTTCGAGAACTGGACCAGCTCCATGATTCTTTATTTAAATTGGGTGATTTTGATCCAGACATAAATTTTTTTTAAACCTAGTTTCGGATTTTGTTCATTTCAATTCCTCAAAGTCGATATATTCTTAGTTTTTTAGCACATCAAGTTTGTGGATATGCGGCTGAAATGAATTTTCAGTGATTTGACCCAAGGCACCCACATGAGTAGGCGGGTTCACCAAAAGTTATTTCTTTTCTTATTATTAACACTAGGACTTAAATTTCTTTAACTTAGCATTAGGCAATGGAATCCGAATTCAATTCTTTTGAGTTGTTGGTGGGAGACAATGTAAGAGAAAAATCAAACAGAATGCTGCTCATTGCACATGTTTTGCTTATGACTTCATCGCTTGAGATTAATTATAAACACAAAACAAAATTTCATAAATTGAGATTGATTATATGAGGAGGTAACAGGTCGAGTCGGGTCCTAGACATGAACCTGGATAGTGTTCAGGTTCAAAATTTGAATACGGACCCAATTCGTTGGCTCCCTTTTTGGGCCCATACCCAGATCCGGATTGAGTATATCCCTCGGTCCCGGGTCCATCGCGGAAAACAGTTTACAGCAGGAAACTTCAACCAAAATATAGAAAGCAGAAGCCGAAATGTAACAACAGAGTAGTACTTACCGATGACATTTAGGCTGGAAAAGCCTTTTAGCACTTCCAAGGAAGTCTTCAAGTTTATTTTTTACAAATAAAACATAAAAAGGTTGTAAAAAAGTGCATAACTTAAGAGCTTTAACTTTAGGATGACTTGGAATTTGTGTTTAATTCTAATTATGAAATTTACGATTTCAAAAGTGGTGCCAATCAAACAGATCTATAAATATTTGAAAATCTTGAAAATGAACGGTCCAGATAACTTATTATAAGGTGTGCTATTTTTTTTACTTGAAATTTCTTTTATTATTTATATCCATATGTCTCAAGGTCAAGACGATGAATTGGAAGGATTTCCAACTTCATAATACTCTTTTAAGTTGGATTTTTGAGGTGGACCTTACTTCTATAATACAAATTTGCAACCTTGTACAAACATTTTCCTTTCATAAAAGTGTATCAATATATAAGGTATAGTTTTTAATTTTTATAGTTATAGTATCTCAAAGGTAGTTCTGTAAAATTGTTGAAACTGTGGTCAGATGGTGGTATTTTACAAAAGTTTGAAATGTCAAGGCAATTTGGTTATTCATCATTGTCAGAATATGTTTTCAAATTTGGTATTAATACCGCTACATAAAAACATTAGTGAGAACATGGTTTGACAGAGTATGGCATTTGATAGAGCAAAATGGTAGAACAAAATTCATATAGCAAACCCCTAACAGTCTGGGTAGGGCTCGAATGATGATGATGATGATTAAAATATTGAGAGATTTACTTCGATTTAGATTTAAAACCTAAAATCTTTTTCGGTAGAGGCAGAAGCAAAGCAAATCTAGTAACACTCATATCAATTGAATTTTAAATAATATGAAGATATTAGAATGTCCCATCGTAATTTTTGTAATCTTCATGTTCCACTTTCTTACCTTTCTCCAATTTGGAATATTTTTATGAAATTTGGAAATTTTTATTGTTGCCGATGAATGGAAAATTTCTCCAACTAGCATTTCAAAATTTTGGCAAATTATGCAAAATTGGACCATTTTTGCAAAATTTTATGAACTTCCAACTATTTTTAATAAAATTCTTAAAACAAGAGCATAGTTTTAAAAGACTTTTTTGTTTTTTTAAATTGTGGAGGATAGCAGTTCACCAGGACTCGCCCCTTGGTCGAGGTGAGGACTCGCCCCTTGGTCGAGTTGAGGACTCGGGCGACCAATACAGGGGCTTTATGCCCAAAAAAATAAAAAACAAAAGATAAGTTGATAAAAATAAAATAAAAGTATATTGAAACGTAAAATGACTTTAAAAAGTTAAAACAACGTTAAACATGTTGAGAAAAATGGATTAGAAAATTCATTTACAGTTTGAGACATTTCAAAAAAATCCAAAAAATAAGAAGATATAAAAACTCACTAGTCTTTGCCAAATACATCCAAATCCTATACAAAAAGATCATTAAACAATCCGACTCTTTTTTACAACCTTTAAAAATTTGTTTTGAATTTTTGTAAATCCCCAAATTGTACACCTAACTCAGGGAAACTCGGCCTTGCCCAAAGCGAGTTGCTCGCCCGAGTCTTATTAGCATTGGGCGAGTCACTGGACACTAAATTATGGCCTATTCTCTCTCTCTCTCTCTCCACACTGATTTATAGCCTATTCTCTTCCTCTCTCGTGCTACTATCCAGTGTTTGTAATGCAAAAGAACGATAAAGAAAACTTGGAAATGTATTTCTTGCATCTGGATATTCATGTCTCTTCCCTTGTTTCACATAATTTAGGCCTCGAAAAACATCCCTAGTATTTGCAAGTCTATTTCTGCATTAGATCCATGAATTCGGAGTTCCAAAATAAATAATATTGATTTTAGTATTATTGAAGAAATGATACAAGATGGGCATTACTAAAGATTTTTCTTTCTAGATTCATGATCAGTGTGGCCGGGACGATAGATATATCAATTTTTGTTGTGGATCATTCTCAAGATGGATTTTGCATGGGTGGACTTCAGTTGGCAAATGCGACCTGACTTCACTTTTTTTTAAAAGAATGATAATTATTAGGAAAATTAGTTCATGTGGGCCGGACCGCATTTCTACATATGCAGTTAAGAAAGTGTAAAGCATCCATTTTAAAGATGGATGTAGATGCAAGTAGGCGTTCCATCTAAAAACAATGGAAACTGACGGTCCAAATGTTTTCTTATTAGAATTATTATTTTTAATTTTTTAAAATTTATTTATTTATTCATATTCATGATATCCATGTTAGAGATTACATGTCTTTAAAAATTAAGTCTTAAAATCCATCTCAAAAATAGATTTATTAAGAGGCTTGTATTTCTACATATGCGGGCTTGGATGCATAGGTATTATTCTTATTTTGGTAAGTAGGAATGGAGCCTAGAATCTGATCCGGGTTGGGTCAAGGTCCCTGTTAAGTCGACCCGTCGGATCCCGACCTAGTCCCCACCCAAAAGGCCTTATTATATGTTTTTCCTTAAGTTTGCATAAATGGCTCTAGATATATGTGACCTCCCTCCACAAGAGATGTTTATCTCATTATATACATTGTAAAAAGATTGAAATATAATAATTTGTTTGTCATATTGAATTGGATTGAAATAACAATTGTCTTTTATTAAAGAAAAATTCCGCCTTGTCATGTGAAATGAAACATTGGTGTCCCATGTTTTAATGGGCTCCCCTCCTTAGGAGACCATTAATGAAGTTCCTCTTCTCCTCTCTTCATCAGTATTTGCAGGTTCAAACTTTTAACATTGGCAAGCCACCTAATCAAGCTTTTGCAAGTCGAAGGTTCCCAAATTAAAAGTACGGTGTGGTTTGTATAAGGATGAGGCTTTGAAGAATCAAAGTAAGCAGCACCTTCAAACAGTAGTGAAA